ATTGGGAATCCAAAGACCCACCTAAGGCCGGTCTGTGGCTAGGAGATCTGATGCAAATCATACAGCTAGAAAAGATCAGGCATACACTACTAGGATCTAGGGATAAATTTTTCTCTATCTGGAATTCAGTGCTGATATACCTAGACAAACTCAAAACCATACCTTCTTAATCTCATTGAGCCTATTTTATTTTTATTTTATCTTATTTCATTTCATTTATTTATTTAATTATTTATTTTTCTTTCTCCTTCCTTGTCCTAATGATGGTCATCCATATAAAATAATTCAAACAATGTGGGGTTTGTTTGTTTGTTTGTTTTTCCACAATGCACAGTTTACAGACTTTTTTCTTCTTCTTTAGATGAGTGTCCCTGATGTTGAGGGTTCATGGGTGGGTTGAGGGAATGGGGCTGAATGATTGACACATAAATATAAAATTATGAGCAATATTCAAAGGATGTTCTTTTGATATGTATCTGTTTATATATGGATGCTCAATAAAAAGATATTTAAAAAAGTCAGTCAGTTTTTGAATGGCCAAAATAAAATTACGACTCTGTGTGTGTTTTCTGTGTGTTTCTTGGTGATTGACTGTTTTGCATAACCGAAGACCTTTTCCAACCTAGAGATACTCTCTTAATTAAAATCATTTTAATGATTTTGATGAGGGTTGTATCTACACTACTCTATATACTACCATGATTCTCTTGATAAGATATCATTGCACAGAATATCTAATATGATTTCATACATGTTGATAAACTATGATCAGCTGAGTTTTGTCATGGTTCTAGGTGTTGCCATTATGTTGTGTAACTGTTACTCCCATTACTCTTTTTTTTTAAACAAAATACTCTTTTTTTAAACAAAGTCCAGCTGCTGCTGTTTCAGCCTTTTAGCAGGTGGTGACTTTGTGTGAAAAGTGATAAAAACCTTTTTGCTAGTGTGAACTTGTAGACAAAGTTAGAAGTTAAATATGGAGGAGTGACCGTCCCGGGATTAAAATGATTGAATCAATAATATTCAGTTTCTATATATGAAAGTAAACTGACAACAAGACGTTATAAACAAGAAAAAGTCAGAGCAACATTAGTGACAGACAGTTTTACCTCATTCTAAGTTTCTGACTACTGCTGCAGCCTGCAGCCTCTCACTTTGAGCCGTTGAGAGGGAGGCGGGGCGGGAGCGCAGTGAAATGATGCTGTGTAGTGCCTTGGACCTTGGACCCCTTCCTCAGTGCCGAGCCTTCATCCAGTAAGAGCAAAATCAATTCCTCTGAAAAAATACTCACCATCTACTCACCTGACCAAATACTCACCAAGGACTTCTTCCCTTCCAGATCTGGTTCCCGTAACCTCCCACCTGTAAATAAAAATCACTTACCTTTTACCTCTGCCTCCAAGTCTGTTTGTCGCTGTGCTGCTCAACCTTTGACAGATTTATTTATCATGATAGTATGCATCAGCCAAGCAACATGTCAAAGAGCAGTTCCAGTGGCGAACAGGCCGCGAGTTCCCAAGAAGCTACATTTCTTGAACATGAAAATTTGTTTCAACAATTATTTCAATTGCAGCAATCAACTGGCTCTCTGTTAAATCAAGTTTCCCATCTCTTAGTTACTATTGATGACAAGTTGACCAGCCTGATGCCTTCCACGTCAGCAACTCGACCCTCTGCTGCCCCCTCCAGTTCAACTTCCTCCACGTCTGTTAGAGAACCAGATTTGAGACCAGCTGAACTATTCGAAGGTAATTCTGAACACTGTGGAGGATTCCTGCTCCAATGTAAATTGGCATTCTCTCGATCACCATCTCTGTTTCCTTCTCACACGTATAGAATAGCATACATAGTCTCTTCATTAAAAGGAAAAGCATTATGATGGGAGCAAGTCTTTCTGTCATCTCATTCATTAGAAACCTTAACCACTCGGCTGTTTATCCAGGAGTTCCAGAAAGTATTTGACCATCCCCTTCAGCAGGAGGAAGCAGCCAAACGTTTGACGTTGAAACAAGTGTGGAAGCAGGTCTCGGAACATTCAATCAATTTCCGCATTCTCGCTGAGGAGACTGGATGGGACGAGTTAGTGCTCAAAGGTACATTTGTAAATTCCCTGTCTGATTCTGTTAAAGATTAACTTGCCTCCCGAGAGGAACCCAGAAGCTTGGATGAATTAATCTCTCTCTGGCCATATGAATTGATAACAGATTAAGAGAGCGACGAAGAGAAAAAGACTCCATTTCCCACAATCCTCAGTCTCCCTGTTTCCGCCCTGCCATTGAGATTTCCACTAATCAACATCCACCCTCTCCTGAACTGGAAACGGAACCAATGCAGGTCGGCTGACCTTGTTTGACTCTGGAGGAACGACAGAGGCGTTACGCCGCAAAAGTATGTATTTACTGTGGAAACAAGTATCATTTTGTTGCTACCTGTCCGGTCCGGGGAAACAGACCGACCCGTCATTAAAACAGGAGACTTTGACAGGTTCCACTGGTTTCTCCCTTGCCTCCCTATTGTCTATACCTGCTACCATCATTCACAATCAAGTCAAACTACCAATCTTAACCTTAGTGGATTCAGGGGTGGAACAAAACCTCATCTCCAGCAACCTTGTCGAGCAACTCAAAATATCTACCATGGCCCTCGACTCTCCTCGCTCTGTGGCTGGTATTACGGGACAAACCATCACTCAAATCACTTCAAAAGTTCTGGATCTACACGTCATCATCTCTGGTAACCACCATGAAACTGAGTTTTTTGTTTCTTATTCTTCCTCTCCTCAACTGGTGTTTGGGTTCCCCTGGCTTGTGAAACATAATCCTGTTTTTAACTGGCCTGAAAAAAGAGTTGATCAAGTTGGAGTAATTTTTGTTTACAAAGTTGTTTACGCTTCGCCATTACCTGTTCTGTTAAAGAAAAAGATCAAATTAAGGAGGTGGATTTGTCTAAAGTTCCTGCAATTTATCACAATTTAGCACCGGTTTTTAATAAACAAAAAGCCTTGTCTCTCCCACTTCACCGATTGCTCACTTCCTTCTAGCAGATTATACGTATAACCTGTCAGGACCCAAAAAATAGTCAATGAAAAATTATATCAAAGATTCTCTGTCTTCAGGTATCATTCATCCCTTTACTTCTCCCTTAGGGGCAGGGTTTTTCTTTGTGGAAAACAAAGATAAAACTCTCTGACTTTGTATAGATTATCGTGACCTCAACCAAATCACTGTTAAGAATAAATATCCACTCCCCCTAATCGACTCTGTTCACGAACAACTCCAATCTGCAACTGTTTTTTTCTAAACTGGATCTCAGAAATGCATACCATTTGGTGAGGATTAAAGAGGGGGATGAGTGGCAGACGGCATTTAAGACGCCCTTAGGGCATTCTGAATATCTGGTGATGCCTTTTGGGCTCGCCAATGCCCCTGCCGTCTTCCAGGCCTTAATTAACGATGTGTTGAGGGATTTTTTTGAATGATTTTGTGTTCGTCTATTTGGACGATATTGTGATTTATTCTTGAGATGAAAAACAACGAGTCCCACATCCGAGCTGTCCTTCAACGCCTCTATGAAAATCAGTTATTCATCAAATTTGAGAAATGTGATTTTCATGCTCATTCTGTTTCCTTTCTCGGCTTTATTTTTGAAGAAGGAAATTTTCGCACAGACCCAGACGAGGTACGAGTCGTAACCAACCACTATTTACCTCTGCCACCAAGTCTGTTTGTCGCTGTGCTGCTCAACCTTTGACAGATTTATTTAACCTGATACATATCCAGCAGTCACAGTGCAAGGGGCAGGGTACAACCTGGACAGGTCGCAAGTCCATCACAGGGTCACATAGAGACAAATGAGAAAGACAACCTTTTACTCTCTCACTCACACCTAGGGACAAATTAGAGTTTCCAATTAACCTAACAGTCATGTTTTTGGTCTGTGGGAGGAAGCCTGAGTGCCCGTAGAGAACCCACGCATGCATGGAGAAAAATGTACAGACTATTTAGAAGAACCCGTCCGGAGGACCTATTTATTTTTTCTTTTTGATACAGACTGTTTCATTTGTATTTTTCATTTTATGTTTCTTGAGAATTGTTTTCTTTAGTAGGGCAGGAAAATGTGGGGAAGTATTTTTCACAACAATCTAGCCATGATAAATTGTTTACACTGAAAGCCTGCCCCTTACAAGTTTGCGTTGTGATCGTACCACAGTGGAATATTGTCTAAAGGAGGCATGACGCTTCTATTCTATATATACCTCATTGTGCCTCATGCAAGAACATGTTCGTATTCTTATCCTAAATTTCTCTTACTTTTGTTTGCACGAAGGGTTCGTACGAACATGCCACGTCAGATTCAACAAAGTCTTCTATCTTCAGAAAAAGTGTGTAAATGAGCTGCATTAACTGGTGAATGCATATCAGGTGCTCGTGCATGGGGATTAGCATAATCTACCACCTCAAAAACACCATATAAGGATACGTTTACTGCCCCACATACCAGGAAGTGTCCATTCATATGACATCGCAAAGTAAAAAAGAAGAACTTTACGAGTTCGGAGATTGAAGTCCTGCTCTCGGAGATCCAGAAAAAAAAGTCATATGCTCAGGATGGGAGACTGTGATGAAGTGATTCAATGTGGTCTACTGGCTTCTTCTTTACATTGTTCTTTTTATGTACAGTGCCCTGAGACAACGTATGTTGTGACTTGGCGCTATATAAATAAACTGAATTGAATTGAATTTTTAGCAACGTCAGACCTGCTAAAGCCAAGGAATGATATGATGACTGCTGTTAATGTCGTGTCCCCTGTGGGTCATGCAGTCACAGAAATAAAAATCTAAATCGTATTCATCTCTCTCTAGTCCTGCTCCGGTTTTTCTTTGGTCAAATATTTTTGATTTAAGTGTAAACAACTGTGTTACATAGTTTTCATTTATTCAGAAGAAGAGCAGTGGCTACCAGTCAACACAATGAGCGTTTTGAGAAAACCAAACACTTACCGCTATAGTCTCCTTTGTTTCAGTGCCTCTCTTCTTCAACTTTGTCTTCTCAGATTCTGAATATTTTTTTAAGGCTTCATTAAATCTCTCCCGGGTCTTTGAGTGGTCTTCTCTCTCACCTAGAAGAGTTTACAAAGCTTATGTTGGTTAATTGGTAAATGGTAATTACACTTAATCTTCTTAGCATCTTTAATATACTCTAGTTAACTACAATACTTAGACAGGGCTATTCAATTGGCGGCCTGCGGGCTGACCAAAGTTTGGCCCGCCAAGTGATTCATTCATCTCTTAAGCCCAAACCCCTGTTTTTTTTCTTTAATTACTCTATGTTTTAGATTCAAGATTCAAAAGTTTTATTGTCATATGCTCAGCATACAAGAAGTTACACTGTGCAATGAAATTCTTACTTTGCAGTTCCTCTATTTACCGACAGTCCAAGAAATTATAAATAAAGAACTAAAGAATACAAAAGTAGGGTGGACAGAATAACAGATATTTACAATTTTTTCATTATTTTGGACAGTAGCAGCTGAATTTTTTGTGCAAAAAGACAGTATACAGAATTATAGACTAGTATTTACAGTTTTTGCAGTATTTATGGACAGTAGCAGCAGATTTTGTAGTGCAAAACAGACACTGTATTGTGTTAGTTAAACATAGACATGTTTGGTATCTATAGAAATGTCAGAAACTTGACTAGAAGCTGGTAAAATACATTTCTATGCACATTCAAGACAGTTAAAATTACAAGCAGCTAAAACTATGAAAGTGAAAATAAAACTGGTTAAAAATTTGGCAAGTCAGAGATGTTAAAATAATATTTGTGTCAAATAGGAGGCCTAATGTGTTCTTTTTGGTTTTGATAGTTTAATTATCACTACTTTTAGGGATCTGTATGTTGTATTCATGATTAAATACAGCAAAATAAACTATTTCAAAGGTAACAGATCTTTGTGGTACTTTGTTTATTTACATAATAACTTTGATTGCTATTTGTTTGGGCCCCTGAGCTGTTGACCTGCAGTAACTGTGGCCCCTGGAGCAGTTTAGTTGAATAGCCCTGATGCAGACTCTTCAAACCAGGTCTAGGTCATTCTGCACATAAAGTAGAAAATTTCAAAACAAATTGCAATCTTGTTTTTAAATATTCTGCTATTAGTGTAGTATAATCTAGACCAGGTTTGAAGAGACTACATGTTGTATTTTTGCATCTAGTGAGGTCCATTTGCACAAAAAGTGGAGTAATCGCCCTTCATTGAAGTTTCACAAATCAGATAAAGGTTTCACAAATGTCGGACTTGGTTTTAAATATTCTGCAATCAATCTAGAATAATCTAGTCCATGTTTGAAGTGTCTGAGTATTGTAGTTTTTAAACTAGATCAGATTAAAAATGCTCAAGGGAGTGAAAAATTAGGTGGAATTGCCCTTTAGTCATTTCCAAATCGGAAGTTACAATCAAAACCAACTTTTAAAAGAATCACATACAAAAACAATACATAAAAAATAAAATGAAAGGTAGCAGAAACAAAAAAAAAATCTTGTAATATCTGCCCCTATTTTAAAAAAACAAACTATAATAATAATAGCTTCAAACAATAACAAAACTAAAACTTCAGCTCCTAAACAGCAGCTCTTAAATATAAATTATAGAATTTCATACTTCTTTAACAAATAATTTATCATTTTTTTTAAAAAATTACCGTAATTGACCAAGCGTTTTTACAATCCAGAGTATTGCATAATGGTATTCCTTGGACTGAAGTACATTGGTCCTTTAAATTTATTCAAATTTAGGTTTTACAAACATTTCTAATCCCTTCAGATTATAAAAACTTTCCCTCTTAACAAAATGTGATTGGATGTTCAAAGGTAATACATTTTTATGAGCCTTATACATAACCTGCAAAATATTATAATCAAGCAACTTGTAAAACTTCAATAATTTCAACTGATAAAATAATGTATTTGATGGGTGACTGTAGTGTCTACTAGTGATAATTCTTATGGCTCTCTTCTGCAAAATAAAAATATGATTTATAATTGTTTTACATGCTTTCCTCCAGACTTCAATACAATGAATTAAGTGTGGAACAATTATTGCGTTATATAGAATAAACAGTGCTTTATCATTGAACAACTCCTTTACTTTATATAATACTGCAATGGATTTGGATATTTTTGTTCTTTAATAATTTATGTAAGATTTCCATGTCAGCTTTTCATCAATGATAATACACAAAAACTTTCACCTCACTAACTCAGCAAATCTCAACACCCTCGACTCTAAATGAAACATTGGCAGTTTTCTTTCCATTACTGAATATGATGTAATTAGTTTTGTCCAAATTTAATGGTAATTTATTAAATTTAAACCAAAGATTGTACTTTTACAAATTCTGTTTGTATCATTTCCAACAGACGTTCTATGTCTTTACCCATACAAAAAAATGGTATCATCTGAAAATAAAACACATTTCAACAACCCTGACACATCTACCAAGTCATTCACATATAAAAGAAATAACTTTGGTTCAAGTACAGAACCCTGTGGAACTCCACATGTAATGTTGCAGAGTTCAGATCTTACATCATTTATTTGTACAAACTGTTTCCTGTTTTTTAGATAACTAGATACCCACTGTAGAACTGGTCCTCTTATGCCATATTTATTTAACTTCAGCTTCTTGAAGAGTCCACATTTTGAATAACTAAGAAAATTGTTTGGGATGGACATTGAAATCAGCACCAGAATATTCACAAAAATAAACAAATAAATATAAACAAAAATAAAAAACACTCCTGATCTCATAATTACGGGAAAGGTTAAGGAGAGTCATAGCTGATCTACACTATAGGAAAAGTGAACAATTACTGCACAGTCAGATTTATATGCTCTTATTTCCTTTTAGGTATAAAACAAAAGGAAATTTTGAGTTTATTTGATGTGGACGGTGTTGTGTCTGCCCATTTGTTAATAAATCCAACTGCACAACAGTTTACAGGAGTTCATTTTAATTCAGCTTCATCACAAACATAACACCAGCACTCAATCTCCTTTACCGGTGGTCGTACTTCCAGTTTCAGTAACAGGAAAGTTCAAAATAAAAGTCCCATTCAGTAGAGTCAGAACAAAACATTACAGATGGCATTAATATTATTATGTTGACACGACACATACTGTATACTTGCAGTTGTTCAAGCAAAAGGCCCACTCTTAATAATGTGATGTTTTTGAACGGCTCCTTACAATGAATGATAGGAGCCAAGTCGCAGGCAGTAAAGATCCATTTGTAGTTTTATTTGCTCTCATAAATATGACAGCAGGAGCTCATTTCACAAAAGTCAGATTTATAAATCCAGGATACCAGCTTTAAACTGAGCTTGAACAAGTCTTCAACTTGTAAACAGCTGTAATCTGTTGCTCTAACACCAAGCCACACTTAAACAGGTTCATTCAAGCCAGCTGTAAATCGTTTAGGATTAATGCACGTTCACTGTGTGCTTACTGGTTGGATCAAAGATTTCCTGATCAGGCATGTGCAGTAAGACACAAGTCTCAAATCTTCCCAGCAGTGGATGAATAATTTAAAGAGATGAAGCGGGACTATTTTAGACTACCGTATTTTAAACATGAAGCTGAGGTTAAGTCTTTTTTAATTATTCTTCTTCACAGACAATCTGATAAATAAATATATTTACTCTGTAATATTTTAATGCAAAGAAAAAAAAGACATTTAATAATTGTATGAGACACACTGATTTCTGATCGGTGTTAGAAATTCTAGATTATACTTAATCTTTTCAAATTAATAATAATTAATAATCTGCAGTTTGACAGTTGCACTTGGTAAGACTTCTTGAAATAAAGAAAACTTTTCAGGCTAACAAGATTATTAATCCAACATATTCTGATCTTGTTTAGTACATCAGTCTAAAAATAAAATCAAAAATACATTTGAGCTGATATAAGATTGTAAGTCTGATTAGATGAACAGTTTTTTCCAGTGAAGTGACCGTCTACTGCTCATAAACATTAACAGATTAAATAAGCTCCACTTTAAACCTGGTCAGGACCAGGTTAGTTTCAGAGCACTTGTTACCATAAAAATATAAGTGCTTCCTCTCCCATGCAACCGATTCAAGGCTCAATTAATTCAGGTTTGCACCAAAATCCTGGCTTAATCTCTTATCCTAGATTAGTGGTGTAAGAAAATATCGATACACTGAAATATCGCAATATTTCATTTCCCAATACTGTATCGATATTCTAAAGCCCTGTATCGATTTTTTATTAAGGTTTAAAATGTCAACTTTCCTGCCAGCCATTCATTTTTATGTTGTAGTTCAGCCTCTGACCACTAGTTGGCAGCAGTGAGCCAGCCATTTGGCTCCTCTAACTCTTGAGTGCCAGAGAGTAAGAGAGCATTAGCATTGTGAGTAAACATTGGCTGTGTCCAAAACGACAGGACGGGTCCTCCGGAGGACCC